CCTGAAACATGGCTAATGCTTAAATACACTTAAAAAATGCTTGTTGATTGTCTGATTCATGTTTTTTGCTGATGCTAAGGGTTATCCATGGGTATGAGTGAAACTGAAAAGAACACCTAGCCCTTTCCATTCATTGTAAAGTTGAAGACATCTTCAGTTTGACATTCAAAATCCTTCATAACCTGGCCGCCTCCTACTTTTCCAGTCTTCTTAAACCTTACCTTCTCCCCCGTTCCCACTCACATTATACGCTGCAATCAATTGACAACGGCCTGTTGCTATTCCTCCAGCAAGATGATCCATCTCCCAACTCTGCATTTTAACTGGCTGTCCCTCATGGTTGGAATGCTCTCCCTTCTCATCTCTGCCTCCTGACTTCCTTTAAATCCCTGGTAAAATGCCACCTTCCACAGAAAAATTTCCCAATCCCCCCAATGCTAGTGCCTTCCCTCTGAGATTATCTCCAATTTATCCTGTTTATGTCTTGTTTATATTTGTTCATATCTTTGTTGTATCTGTTTATATCTTATCTTATTTTCTCTGTCATTGGATATCATGAAAGCTTTTTTCAAATGCTTTGCTGAAATATGGTTAAATTTTATCTAATCCCACTAATGGATGAGTTTGGTTGCCCTGTTAAAAAAGGAAATGAGTTCAACATATTCTTTTAGAACACCTGTATTTAAATGCTACTCCTGTATTATTTACTACCTGTATAACCTTGGGCCTTCTCTGGGCCTCAGTTTTTCATCTCTAAAATGTGGAAGTTAGGCTAGATGACATCCAAAGTCCCTTTCCAGTTCTAAGTCCTGTGATCTATTTCCCTTCCTCCATGTTTACAAATCATCATTTTAGTAGTACATTCCAGAATTTTGTTAGGAATCCAAGTCAAATTCACTGGCCTATAGTGTGAAGAATATACCTCCTATACTTTTTTTGAAAATTGGTACATTTGCCTTTTTCCATCTACCTCTTCTCCATGATTTTTACTAAGACCATAACTAATAATTCAGCCTGAACCATTATGGTAGCTCTGAGTGGAGAAAAGGGAATATGTAAGAGAATTCTTAAGGGGGAAATGAGACTTGGCAACTAATTATATAAGAGGAGTAAGTTTGAATGAAGAATTTATTTTCATGCCAGCCTTGCAAACCATGGTGACTTAGAGGATATTGGTACCTCAAGAAACTTATTTTCCACTCAGAAAACAACATTTCCACTAAAAAATAAGTACAACAGACAAATTAGATTATTGGGTTAGACATGGTGTCTGTAATTTCACTTCATCCTGGTGTGGAACTTCCTTTATCAATACATCCTGGCACTTTCTCTGCAATTTAGAGTCTTATAGAGTTGCCTAGAGTACTGAGAGGTTAAGAGACTTGCCCAGGGTCACACGGCCAATATGTATCAAATTGAATCAAGGTATTCCTGGCACCAAGGTCTTTCTGGTCCCAAGTCCTGGTCCCAAGTTCTCTAACTCCTGTGACATGCTACCTATCTAAACAAGTATACATACAAATTACATAGTCAACAAACATTTATTCAGCAGTTATTATGTGCCAGGCATTGTGCTAGGGATGCAAAGAAAGGTAAAAGAAACAGTTCCTGCTTTTAAGGAGCACACAGACTAAAGGTAACTATGTACAAACAAGATAGAGACAGGATAAGCTAGAGGTAATCTCAGAGGGAAAGCACCAGCATTAGAGGGGATTGGGAAAGCCTTCTTATAGAAGGTGAGATTTGCCGGGGACTTGAAGGAAGCCGGAGAAGCCAGTAGACAGGAGGAGGGAGAGAATTCCAGGCATAAGGGATAACCAGTGAAAATGCTGCCTCAAATATCTAATATCAATTGATTTCAGAGTCAGACCTGGGAATGGAGAGTACAATCGTATTGTAATTTTTAGAGGAAGTCATCAGGAAACAGGACTGGTAAGGATAAGCTAACTGTAGGAGGAAGCTTTAAGGGAAGGTAGGGATTCTTTGAGACAGGTGAGAAGGGAGTACACTCCAGGCATGCGTGACAGCCTGTGTGAATGCACAGAGATGAGATGGAATACCATGTATAGGGAGTAGCAAGTAGGCCGATTTAACTAGAATATAATGTGCAAAGGGGACTGATGTCCAGTGGGTTGGAATCTGACTATGAAGAGCTTTAAAAGCTAGAGAAGCAGCTGGGTGGCTCAGTGGATAGAATTCTATGGCCTGGAGTCAGAACACTTGAGTTCAAATCCATCCTCAGACACTTATTAGGTGTGTGATTTTAGGCAAGTCACTTAACCTTTGATTGCCTTAATCCACTGGAGAAGGAACTTGCAATTTTTAGGGCAGCTGAGTGGTGCAGTGGATAGAGTACTGGGCTTGAAATCAGCAAGACTCATCTTTCTGAGTTCAAATCTGGCCTCAGCCACTAGCTTTGTGACCCTGAGCAAATCACTTAACCTTGTTTGCCTCATTTGCCTCATCTGTAAAATGATCTGGAGAAGGAAATGGCAATTTCCTTCAATATCTTTACCAAGAAAACCCTAAATGGGGTCCTGAAGAGTTGGAAATGACTGAACAACAACAAAGAGTTTGTATTTTATCCCAGGGGCAAGAGGAAGCCACCAGAGCTTCTTGAGAAGGGAGGTGGCATTGTCAGAAGTGTGTTTGAGGAATAGCAATTTGGCAGGTGCATGGAAGATTGATTGGAGAGAGAAGAGACTGGCAAGAAAGATCGATTAGAAGCCTATACAACAACCTGACAAAGAAGTGATGGGAGCCTGAACTAGGGTGATAGCTGATGAAGTGGGAGGTCAAGACAGACACAAAAGATGTTTTAGAAATAGAATCAACGAAATTTAGCAACCTGCTTGATAGGCAGGTTGAGTAAAAATGACAAGGATGACTCTATACTGTGAACCTCAGTGACTTTAAGAATTGTGGTACCCCCAACAGAAATGGTAAATTGAGGAAAATGAAAGAATTTGGGGGAAAAGGTAATGAATACTGTTTGGAATATGATGAGTTTGAGCTGCCAGTTGGAAATATTGATGATTCAGAGCTGGAAATCAGGCAAGAGAGTAGGGATGGATATGTAGATAAATGTAGATCTGAGAGACTTCTGCCTAGAGAGGATATTTGAACCTCTGGGAGTTGATGAGATCACCAATAGAAAGTGTGTAGAGAGAAAAATAAGAGGACCCAGCACAAAGTGCTACAAAGCTATCTATGCCAAGGAGAATGAGGAGGAGGAACAAGACAGGTAGGAGGATAACTGGGAAAGAGGAGTGTTGTCAAAACTCAGGAAAAATCTCTAAGATGGTCAGCAGTATCAAAATGCTATGGAGGCCTCACCGGTAACCTGAGAGAATAGTTTCATTGAGTTCTGAAACAGGTTTACAAGGGGTAAAGAGAAATTAGTAGAAAATTAGTGTAGAGAAAATGAGTATACACAGCTTTGCTGCAAAGGAAAGGAGAGATACATACAGGCTGATAGCTTAAGTGGATGGTAGGATCAAGTGAAAGGTTTTAAATGATGAGGAAGATCTGGGCATATTTGTTAGCAGAAGGGAAGTGATCACTGGATAAGGAGAGATTGAAAATTAGAACAAGGAATGGGATGATTGAAGGGAGAAGTTCCTTGGAGCAAAGGGAAGAGGCTGGATCAAAGTTAGCAGTATGAGAGTTGGCATTAGCAAAGAGAAGGGCCAACTCTTCCTCTAAGAACGGATCAAAGGAGGCGAGAGGATGATGTGAAAGTGATATGAAGTATAGAATTCAGGATGTGCTTTTTTTTTTTTTACCACGTTTCCCCCTGCTGTTCATTTTCTCATTAGAGTATGTATTCTAACATACAACACGACTCTCTCTCAGCCCTTTTATCTGTTTTGTTTCCTTTGAATAAGACACAATCTTTTATCCTCATATTCCAGATATGTCACATCTAAACAGGCCTTAGCAATACCTGTCAGGTCAAATTTATTTCCTTGCATTAAGATCTCAGATTCACTTTGTATATAGTCCATACTCTGCAATTGTGTATAAACATCTGAGGCTATGAGTATTCACATTGTGACTCTTCTTGGACATTGCCTTCAGTAAATTACCAGGCCTCTCCGGTGATAATATTCCTTTGTCATACTTATTATTGTCTTTGGTTACTGGCTTGGGAGATACATGCCAGTCATTCTCTCCTTCACCTAAGCAGCAAGGTGGTACAGTGGATAGAGAACTGGACCTGAAGACAGGAAAACCTAAGTTCAAACACAGCCTCAGAACCTTACTAGTTGGGCAGATCACTTATTCTCTACCAGTGTCAGTTTCCTCTCCTGCAAAATGAGGATAATAATAGTGCCTCCCTACTAGAATTGTTGTGAAGATAAAATGAGATAATATTTGTAAAATGTTTTGCAAACTGCATAGTTCTATGTTAATGCTAGCTGTTATTTTCAGCTTATTTCCCTTTTGATCAGATCCACTAAACTTCTGGCCTTTTCTCAAAAAAAATTTTTTTAAACATTCTTCTTTGGATGCACTTCATCTGTGGCCAAGAGCCTGTCATTGTTGTCTTAATCCTTGGTCCAGAAATCCAAATCCTATCGCTGAAGGCCATTGTCTTGACCAAGAGAGTCTTCGCCCACATCTACCTTTGTTTTCTGCAATCCCTCCCTTCGGTTGGCAGCCATGATGAAAATGCCGCCTGTGCCCCTCCAGTTGTGGGTTTGTGTTGTCAGATTTGAGAAGTCTCAGGAGACTCTGTCTTGCTGTCTTGTCTGAAGGATAACCACTGCCCCCCTCCACCCTAGAAGATGAATAAGGTAGTATATCTTTCAATTGTTCATGTCAGTTGACACATACCTTCCTCAGGACCCCTCATGTAACCCAAGGTAAGCAAGAGTTTTGAGGGGAAGTCAAAAAGTGTTGTACAGGGAAACTACTTTTTGATTTGGTAAGGCACACTCAATACAGATAGAAATGTAATAATGGTAACAACTTTTCTTTTCCCCTTCTCTTTTAAGGCCACAATGAATGTGGAACATGAAATTAACCTTTTGGTTGAAGAAATGCAACGCCTGGGTACAACAGGTATAAAGTTATGTTTCTTTCTTATTATCCTTCACAGCAGGCTAACTCTCCAGTTATCCAGAAACTAAAGGAGACCAAGCTGGTGGTTCTGTAGCCAGCTCATCCCTTCATTCTGTGTTTATCCCTCAGAATGCTCTCTGGAGGCCATGTTATTTCTGTGCCCCCTTTCTGATGCCAGTGGTCAAAAGATATTTCATCCTCTCACGAGAGCAAGACCATGGACTTTCCTCATCCTGGCTTGACTAAAAATCAAGAAAATTCTGTTCAGGCCCAAATCTTAGTCAGCTCTAGTGTTTGAATTTCTTTCTTGTCCTAAACCGAGCTGTTGTTTTACATATTTTAAATGATGAGAGACCTAAATTGAAATTATACTAAATTGTCTTCATTTTCTCTGAATTCTTGAGTTTTACATAACTGCATATTCATGTACATAGAATCAAAATAAGCTATTTTCCCCTCACATTCTTGTGTAGTTTATTTTTTTTTAAATCTGCATTTCCTTTAGCTACACACTCATCAGAAGATAATGACAAGTAAAATTGGTAGCATTAGGACTTTTTTTCTTTAGCGACAATGAAAGCTACCATTATATGTGAAAATTCAGGTATTCACTTGGTTCAGATTAGCTATACAAGAGACTGGAAAGCATTTTGAAAACACTAACAGTAATATAAATACTTAGCAACTAGGATAATGCAATCCAAAGTTTAAAAAAAAATGAGATCAACCCACAAATAGCATCCATTAGCATCTTGGGAAAGTTGTTTTTGTTTTTGTAGCTTTATCTCTACTTATTGCCATTTTCTTTGCTTAAGAAGAAGAATCTTTTGAAATGCCAAAATGCTAAAAACTTATCAGTAGCTAGTTTTTGCCAATTCTGCCTCCACAATTTCTTACGCACTTATGCAATTTCTTATGCACTTCTCTCTATTCACATAACCATTACTCACATTAGCACTCACATTAACCTGTTACTTAAGGCCCTCATCATGTCTTAGCCAAACTTTTTCAATAACCTCCAGTTTATATTCTCTCCTCTCTCCAATCAATATTCCACCCAACTGCCAAAATAATCTCTCTAAAGCATATCTCCCCATGAAACTCCTGCTCAAGAAACTTTAGTGGCTTCCTAAAATAAAATCCAAACTTTGTTTGGCATTTAAAGGCCTTTGCAATCTGGCTCCAGCCTATCTTTCCAGGCTTATTGCTCGTTAATTTCCTTTGCACGCTCTATATTCCAGTCATTCAGGCCTACATGCTGTTCCCAAGAACTTGGCCCTCCATGTCTTGCCTCTATGCTTTGGCATAGGTTGGCTTTCATGCCTGGATTGCAATTCTTCCTTCTTTCTGCCTCTTAGATTCCTAGCTTCCTTCAAGGCTTAGTTCATGTGCCGTCTTGTCCTGGAAACCTTTCCCAATCCCCTTAGTTGTTAGTGCTTGCTCCTTCCGTTTCAAATTATCACGTTGTATCATGTATTTTCATGTTGTTACCGCTATCTCCACTGCTACACCTCCCCACCACTCCCACTGCTATGCATGCCCCCCCCCCACTCATGAATGTAAGCAATGTAGACTCCTTAAGATAAGAGCTTTTTTTTTTTTTGCTTGTCTTGTCCCTTATCCATATTAGGCATTTAACAAATGTTTGTTGAAGTGGATTGGAATTGAATGTATTTGTTTGGATTGATTAGAAGTTCATTGTCCCTTATTATGTCTTCTCTGATCATTATGCTCCTTGTTGATTTCCTTTCCCCTTGATTCACAGATCAATCCTCCTCTCACCCTCGCTGACATAACCCATTTAAAAAATAGACACATTTTTTGACTAGTTTGTAAAAGTGTGACCAACCAGGTAAAAATGATCTGTCATTCACCAAATCAACGAGTAAACATTGACTACCTACAGTGTGCTCAGAAGTGAGCTAGCTGCTGTACAGAACACACTCATAGTCTAATTGGGAAGATAAGACTAACAACATGAAACAATCAAGAGAAAAATCAAGTGAGAAACTATATGAAACAGGAAATTCTGAGAAGGGGGAATATTCATGGAAACTAGAGAATTCAGGGAAAGCTTTATTTTTATTTTTGCTTAGGCAGTTGGGGTTAAGTGACCTGCCCAGTGTCACACAGCTAGTAAGTGTCAAGTGTTCGGTCTGAGGTCAAATTTCAACTCGGCTCCTCCTGACTTCTGGGCCAGTGCTCTATCCACTGCACCACCTAGCTGCCCCTAGGGAAAGCTATATGAAGCAGATAAGACTTGAGCTAGATCTTGAATTATGGGTAAGGTTTGGAGACAGGAGGTCCTGTTATGTGAGCTAAATAGCATGAATCAATATTTGAGAATGAGTCGAGTATGGAGAAAGGCAAGGGAAGAAGGAGACAATTAAAAGATGGTAAAGAACTTTTTTGTCCTCAGACTGAGAGTTTTATTTTAAAAATAATCAACCAACCTATTTGGTATTTTAGAGTCTTATTTTCAGTCTCTCACTTTTGGCCCACTCCCACATCCCCATTTTTTCCCAGGTTCTGTCAGGAGACGTTACCCTCCCAGTGAAAGAGAAACCAAGTATAACCTTTTTTAGGTAGTACTGTTTTTGTCTGGTTGGTTGGTTGGTTGGTTGTTTTTTGTTTTGTTTTGTTTTTTGACTCAGAGGTTGGAGACAGCATGGTATAGAAGTAGAAAGATCATAGGAAAAAGAAGTCTGGAGATTTGGGTTTTAGTCTTGCCTTTGGTGATACCTATTTGGGTGATTTGGGCAATTCATGCCTCAGTTTTCTTATCTGTAAAATAAGAGGGTTGGACTAGACTATCCCTAAGGTTCCTTCCAGCTCTAAATACTATGATCCATGATAAATATAGCTCCTTCTCACCATAAAGGTCTGCATAAAGCTAATGTTTCTTGGCGCCATTCAATTGTGTTGAAAATCTGACTTCTTTACGTCTGTGTCACAGTATACTGCTTTTATGCTGCATGAGTGTGAATACTTATTTATTTTTGTTATCACCTGGCCTGAAGTAATGGGTTAATGTGAGTGCTAATGTGAGTAGAGAGAAGTAGAAAGGTATAAGAAATTGTGGAGGCAGAATAGTTTAAAATAGCCATCCAAATATTTGAAGCATGAAATATCTTTCTACTACTGAAAAGCTACTGACCTATTATTAGTGACTATTTAAATTAGAGCATTTCTTAAAATCCATGCTATGCTTTACAAAGGTAGGTCATCGGAAGATGATGACGGCAAGAGAGCTGACATTGCTGGAGACCGTGTGGAGCTTGAGGAGAGGGAACAAACATAAGGCAAAAGGCAAGCAGTCCTTCCGACGAATGATAGGCCAAGTTTAACAGGATTGCCTGCTATAGCTAACAATATAGCTAGAATTTATATAGTACTCTATTGTTTAGAAAGCATCATATATATGTTATCTCATTAGATCCTCACAATAACCCTGTGAAGTAGGTACTATTATTATCCCTATTTTACAGATGAAGAAACAGGCTGAAAAATTAAGTGACTTGTCGAGCGTTACATAGCTAGTGAGTGTCTCAAGCAGGATTTGAACTCAGACCATCATTCAAGCAAGCCAACAAAGAGCATTGCAGGGTGCATTGCAGAAGAGAAGGCAGTAGTTCATTGGGGTTAGAACACAGGGTAATTTGAATAGATGAACATTCCAATAAAGATGATATCTGAACTATGTCAAAGGATCTTAACTCAAATCTTGAAGATAAAAGTCTATTTTACAGGCAAAACTTTACCTTAGGTATTTTAATTTCACCGTAGACATTATCATTTCATAGCTGACCTTACGTTTTAAGAAAAGGAGATATAAGTGTGTGTCACTGGTTTTTGACACATTCAGCATCATCCTGGCATTTGACACCAGCTGTCAAGCGTTGTCTTCATCACAGACTCTTTACTGATACTCGTTAGAAGATCATTGGCATTTCTATGCCACACAGAAGAGTAATTGAGATTTGATTTTGTTTTGTTTTGTTTTTTTTTAAGAAATGAAATTCTGGACCTCAGAACTAAATTAAATAGGTAGTCAGTCTTGGACTATTGCAACAGCATTCTGGTTGGCCTCCCTGCCTCAAGTCTGTCCCCACTCCAGTCCCTCCTCCACTTAGCTATCAAAATGATCATCTTGAAATGCAGGTGACCATGTCACTCTCTTATTTAATAAACTCTAGTGACTTCCCATTGGCTCCAGGATAAAATGCAAAATCCTCTGACCTTTAAAACCCTTCTTCATAGCCTGGCCCTTTCCTATCTTTCCAGCCTCCTTATACCTTGCTTCCTTCCACATACTCCATGATCCAGTGACTTTGGCATTGCTGTTTGTCATACAAGATATTTTGGCTCCTCATTTTGACCCTTTTCACTGGCTGTCATCCCATGCCTGGAGTTTTCTCCTTCCTCACTCTATCTCCTACCTTCCCTCAAGTTTCAGCTAAAATCACACCTTCTGCAAGAAACTTTTCCCAGATCACTTTAATATTAGTGTCTTCCCTCTGAGATTATCTCCAGTGTGTTTTGTCTATGCCTTGTTTGCACTTTTTTTTTTTTGCATGCTACCTTCCCCATTAGATTGTGAGCCCTTGAGAGCAGTAACTATTTTTGCCTTTCTTTGTAACCCTGGTACTTAGCATGATATCCGGCACATAGTAGGCACATAATAAATGCTTGTTGACTTTGTAGCCTTGACCTTTTAATAATGTGTCAAATTGTGTCTAAATATTTTGTTCCATTCTTGAGATGGTATGAAAATGAATGATATGATTATGGGTAATAACTTTTTACTTTATTACTTCAGTGTGAGTGTTACTTCTGCCAAATTGAAACCTTGTTTTTTATTGGTTGGTTTAATGGACTATTGTGGCCAAAAAAATAATCATTACCTGGTGGCCAGCCCCTCTGGGTATATGATTTACTCTGAATTAATGAGGCTGATCCTTGGATGATAGAGGGGGCACTTGACTTCATGCCTTTCCAGTTCAGGAAGACCTGCTGGTGCTCCATAGGCATGGACTTTAAGGACCCTGAGTCATTGCCACACAGGTGGAAGCATTGCAGGAGTACTTTTATGAAAGAATAATAAAAATAACATAGTAAAGTAACAATCATTTATTAAGTGCCTGCTGTGTATGAAGCATTGTGTTTCTTAAATACCTTCTTGGAAGACATTCTGTAGTGATTATGCTGATTGGTATATGACTAGTATAAAGTTTTTGTTTGTTTTGGGAGGGTAATGAGGGGAGAGTTTATATATTCATTCTCCTTGCAGCTCATTTGGAAATTCATTAAACTTAGGAGATTGCATTCACTTTTACATTATTATATGAACTAGCTTATAGAAGATGCTTGTTAAAGATTGTATGAACCCATCATGGATGGAGTCAAGAAACTCACTGCTATCTTTCTCTCATACTGATTAGGTGCTGATGGAAAGCTAAGTGTGAAGTTTGGGGTGCTTTTCCAAGATGACAGATGTGCCAACCTCTTTGAAGCCCTGGTGGGGACCCTCAAGGCAGCCAAGCGTCGGAAGATTGTAACTTATCAAGGAGAACTGCTCTTACAAGGTGTCCATGATGATGTTGAGATTGTATTGCTTTAAAATTGATGTAATTTGTTTATCACTTTGGCATTGTTATTTTTGTTTCTAGTAAACTACGGATAGGATTCTGAATTGAAAGAAAAAATATCAAAGTGTTTAATGTATTTTTCTATAATTTTGTAATCAAAAGACTTGTATTTTGGAAGACATTCCTTTTTGTACTCCTTAGAACATGTCAGTGTATTGCATTACATTATTAAAAAAAACCAATAACTATTATTTTTCTCAGGAATACATTTTGAAAACGTAGGAAATGAAATTTGTGTGTGGTTTGTTTTGTTTTTTTTGGTGGGGGGGGTGTTTTATTTTAGAAATCCATTCTTAAAATGAACCTGATGATTATTGGCATCATGTGAAAACAACAAATAATGGTGATTTACCTAATTTGATGACCAAAATCTACAATTAATATGTAATAAAGCCATTTACATCACTTCAGAGTTGCCTTCTTTATGTTTAAATATATTTGTGCATTTCATAATATAATTTACTCTATGAAACTAAAGTCAAAGAAAAAATACTCTTAAACCATAAGTTTTTCATTTTTAATGGTTTAATGTCAATTGGCCAGATAACACCTGGAATATTGTATTCACTTTTGGGTGCCGAATTTCAGAAAGGGAACAGGGAGTAGACAGAAGAGGGCAGTTAAGAATGGTGAAAAACTTTGGGGTCATGCAATGCAAGAATCAATTAGAGGAGCTAAGAGTGTTCATTTTGGAGAGACGACTGAGGGGAAACTTGACAAATGTTTTCAAATATTTGAATGACTGATCAAATAGAAGAAGGCTTAGACTTCCTCTGCTTGGTCTTGGGAGTAATAGAGGATGGAAAGACTGAATAGAAGATGGAAGATGGAAAAAGACAAGCAAGTTTGATGTAAAAAAAAAAAATTCCTAACAGGTTGTTTTTGAGGTAGCTAGGTAGCACAGGATAGAGCACTGGTTCAGGGGTCAGAAAGACCCAAGTTCAAATTCAGCTTCAGACTCTTACTAGATGTGTAAGTCTGGGCAAATTACTTAACCATTGACTGCCTCAGTTTCCTATTCTGTAAAATGAGGATAATAATAGCATCTCAGTTGTAGGATTATTTTGAGGATAAAATGAGATAATATTTATAAAGCACTTTGCAAATCTTAAAGCATTATATATGTGCTAGCTACCATTGTTATTATTATTAGTAGTAGTATTACAATTATTATCAAAGCTATCAAAAAACAAAGTGTCCTGCCATAGAAAAAAATTAGTTCTCCTTCACTTGAGATATTTACTTGTCCGGTATGGATTGACCTTAATGATGATTCCATCAAGTACTTTTTTACTTATTATTTGTTTGCAAAAGTATAAAACAAGGTGCCTGTCCTTATGGATTTTGGAATTTAACTAGAGAGAAAAGAATAATCAAGCTATTAGAAAACAATACAAAATATTTATATGAGAGCCAGCATGTTGCAATGGAAAAAAATATCAGACTGAGTCAGAAAACCTGGATTTGAGTCATCATGGTACAGATCCATTCAACAAATTCTCAAATTTAGTTGCTCCCAGGTTCTAAGTCTTCTTGTGGCCCTCCCTCCATCTTGCCCACTGCTCCCAACAGATACTCCCTTTTTTATATCTGCTAAGGCTTGTTGTCACAGCTCCATACTGTTCCATGGAAAGAAGCATAAGAAGGGACAGCTGCACACTTTCAGCCCCAGGACCTTTCCATACTCCCACAAATTTGGGCCCAAGCCCCTTATTTCAGGGGTACCCAAACTGCTGGCTTTCATACTGGCCACACCCTGACTTTACTCATAAATCTACTCTTCCTTGAATATTCAGTTTCCAATTACATCCATGCATTTACATTAAGGAAATAAGCATTTATTGAGAACCTTATAAATATCATCTCATTGCTATTGTTATCCCCATTTTACAGTTGAGAGAGCTGAGGCAAAGAGAGAGTAAGCGATTTGCTATAGATCACACAGCTAGTAGGTGTCTGAGGTTGAATATGAATTCAGGACTTCCTGACTCTAGGCCCAGCATTTTATCTGCTACACCACCTAGCTCCCTCAACTAACTAAACATTACTTTTAACTAGCCATTCTCTTTCCCTAACTCACATCATGAATTACTCAAAGCCCAACACTAGTATCAACAACAACTTTATCAACACTGTTCTCTGTCTACTTCACATTCCACACCTACACCCAGTGACTGGTTTCTAACTACACATGCCCATTACCAGCATAGGGGTGGGATGAAGGGAAGGGATGTCCTGATGTGCTCTTATGTGAGATCATAATGACGTTGGAGGTAGGGATAGTAATCCACAACTACAGGAATTGTGAGTAAGTCCTCTTTGCCTCAACTTCCAGCTGCCAGGGCCAGCTAGGTGACACAGTGTTGGACTTGAAGTCAGGAAGACTCATCTTTCTGAATTCAATTCTGGCTTTAGACACTTACTAGCTGTGTGACCCTGGGCAAGTCACTTAACCCTGTTTGCCTCAGTTTCCTCATCTGTAAAATGAGCTGGAGAAGGAAGTGGCAAACCACTCTAGTATCTTTGCCAAGAAAACCTCAAATGGGGTCATACAGTTGAATACAACTGAAACGACAGAACAAATAGCTGCCACCTCTTTAAAGTCAGGCATGTAGCCACATATGAGAAATTAATAACTTCCATGAGCCTTATATTCCACAACTGTAAAATGGGGATAATAATACTTTCAACTTTACAGGAGTTGATTCCAGAAAAGTGATTTATAAAATCATAAGGTACTATATAAATGTGAATAATTACATTTCTTAAATGTTATCTTGAAAACATTATTGAAACAAACCCAGGAACTATATGAACACAATTACGAAACACTTTTCACACAAATAAAGTCAGATCTAAATAATTGGAAAAACATCAGTTGCTCATGGGTAGGCTGAGCTAATATAATTAAAATGACAATTCTACCTAAGCTAATGTACTTATTCAGTGCCATACCAATCAAATTACCAAAAAAATTATTTTATAGAGTTAGAAAAAATAATAACAAAATTCATGTGGAATAACAAAAGGTCCAGAATATCAAGGGAACTAATAAAAAGAAATGCAGGGGAAGGTGGCCTAGCTGTTCCAGATCTTAAATTGTATTATAAAGCAGAATCATCAAAACTGCTTGGTACTGGCTAAGAAACAGAGTGGTGGATCAGTGGAATAGGTTAAGTATGCAAGACACAGTAGTCAATGACTATAGTAATCTATTATTTGATAAACCCAAAGACTCCAGTTTCTGGGACAAGAACTCACTCTTTGACAAAAACTGCTGGGAAAACTGGAAAAGAGTATGGCAGAAACTAGGCATAGACCAAAATCTCACACTGTATACCAAAAAAAAGTCAAAATGGGTTTATGATTTAGATATAAAGGCTGATACTGTAAGCAAACTAGGAGAGCAAGGAATAGTTTACCTATCAGATTTATGGAGAACCGAAGAATTCATGACCAAACAGGAGATAGAGAACATTATTAAATGCAAAATGGAAAACTTTGATTACATTAAATTGAAAAAGTTTTGCACAAACAAAGCCAATGAAACCAAGATTAGAAGGAAACTAGAAAACTGAGAAAGAATTTTTACAAACAGCGTCTCTGATAAGGGTCTCATTTCTAAAATATATAGAGAATTAAGTAAAATTTATAAGAATACAAATCATTCCCCAATTGATAAATGGTCAAAGGATATGAACAGGTAATTCTCAGATGAAGAAATTAAAGCCATCTATAGTAATATGAAAAAATGCTTTAAATTATTATTGATTAGAGAAATGCAGATCAGAACAACTCTGAGGTACCACATCACACCTATCAGATTGGCCAACATGACAAAACAGGAAAATGATAAAATGTTGGAGAAGATGTGGGAAAATTGGAACACTAATACATTGTTGGTGGAGTCGTGAAGTGATCCAACCATTTTGGAGAGCAGTTTGGAACTATGCCCAAAGGGCTATAAAAATATACACACCCTTTGACCTAGCAATAGGACTTCTAGGGTTATATCCCAAAGAGATCATACAAACGGGAAAAGGACCCACATGTACAAAAAAATTTATAGCAGCTCTTTTTGTGGTGGCAAAGAATTGGAAATTGAGAGGATGCCCATCAATTGGGGAATGGCTGAACAAGTTGTGGTATATGAATGTAATGGAATACTATTGTGCTATAAGAAATGACGAACAGGCAGACTTCAGAAAAACCTGGACAGACTTGTATGGACTGATGCTGAGTGAACTGAGCAGAACCAGGAGATTGTTGTACACAGTAAAGCCACGTTGTGTGATGACTAATATTGATAGACAACCCTTCTCAGCAATACAAGGATCTAAGACATCTCCAAAGGCCTCATGATGGAAAATGCTATCCACACCCAAAGAAAGAACTATGGAGTTTGAATGCAGATTGAAGCATGCTATTTGCTATTTTTTTCTTCTATTGTGCTTTGTTTCCTCTTTCTTTGTTTTGGTTCCTCCTATTGGTTCTAATTCTTACTTACAACATCACTATGTGAAAATATGTTCAATTGGAATGTATACGTATAACCTATATCAGATTGTGAGCCGTCTTGGGGAGGGAGGGAGAGAAAAATTTAAAACTCAAAAGCTTATGGAAGTGATTGTTGATGAATCAAAATAAATTAATTAAAAAAAGAAAAAAACATTATTGAGCATCAATACAATCACATAAACCTGTTTTATGATCACTTACAGTTAGTTAATTTCCATTAATAAAACACAAATGTTTTTCTTTTTTCCTCCTTTCTTTGCTCTTCCTTTCTCCAGAAGCGTTTCCTTATAACAATTATATATGTATGTATGTATGTATGTGTATACACACCTATGTATGTATCTATACATACACACACATGTTGTCAGACAAAACAAATCAGATTAGTCATGTCTAAGAATGCTTATATGTTTTTGTACCTTTAATCCATCACCTTTCTGCCATGGGGTACAAGTCATTTTTTATCCTCAGTCTTTTGAAGTCATGATTGGTTGTTGCTTTGGTCAGCATTCTGAGATCTATCAGTTATTTTCCAATGCATTGTTATGGTCATTGAGTAACTTCTCCTGGTTCTTACTACTTCACTATGCGTCAGTTTAATACAAGCTTCTCCAAATTTCTCTGAATCTGTCATATTTCTTTTCTCATTTCTGATAGTGCAGTAACATTTCATTACACTCATACGTCATAGTTTGTTCACCTTTTCCCCAAATGAGGAATACCTATTTTGCTTCCAGTTCTTTGCTATGACAAACAATCCTGCTATAAAAATTGTTATACAAATCAGTCTTTTCCCTCTATCCTCGACCTCCGTGAAGAACATGCCTAATAAAAACATCAATGGGTCAAAGGGTAAGTAGAGTTTAGTGACCTTTTTGAGTATAGTTCCAAA